AACTCCCTTCCCTCTCTAGAAAATGAGTTGATTTTTGTATGAATATTGCTTTTATTTGTAATGAGCCTTTTGATAGAGCAGAGAGTCAGCAAAGGTAGCCAAGAAACCTTAGTTTATTGCCATAGATGTGTATGAACCTGAAAAAAATCAATCGCTAGTAATAAGCATGACAACTTCATCATTCTTACAAGTGGTTGGGGTGTGTTATCTATAGGTTATATTGTGGAACCTAGCGTTGTAATTATTTGTAAGTGTAGGTATGTTTTAATGAACAGTTCAAATAACGAAGTAACTGATTATATAAGTCTGTTTTCCTGTGTATTGGAAATGGTTTTATTAAGTAGTTTAGTACTGATGAATTTAAAACATACTGGTTTCTAAAGAGCATTTTCAGGCTTTAAAATGCTTCAGCCTTTCAGATGTCTTGAGATCATTTCAGAACTTTATCATCTAAAAATATACATCTCTCTATGTAACCATCAGCAATTTAGGCAATTAATGAGGAGCTCTGTATCCAACTACTTTTGCAGGTCAGGCATTTAGTATGCTTATTACAGGCCATTAGCTTGGGGAACGTAGTATTTAACAGTGATTCCCCCAAACCCATTATTCTAGAAGTGCACATTGTTGTGTTTTGTTTTGTTCTTTTTTATTACCCTTTGTCTATATTTCTTGGCCAATTTCTGATCCACGTCACTTGTTCTAGAAAAGCTGGCCTTTACGTTTATTGAAATTATGAAATAGTATGAAATACTGAGAGTTCATTCCTACTCGTTCATATAGCAACTGCTTTTGTATATAATAAATTTATTTGCTGATGTTACACGTTCTGATAGCAGCTGTATGTTATCTCTTAATAGCACTCCAGTTTACATTTTGCTTACACATATCAAAGAATCATAACCTCCATTACTGTGATACTATAAAGCTTGTGATATTTTAATTATAAGGTTTACATTAACCAATATATGCACAAGTTATAAAGTATTATTTCTTACCTATATTTTCTTGCTTGTAAATCTATACTGATTTTAAAGCATTTATTACGTTATTCTTAACTTCTGAAGTGCTAACAAACTTTTAATAGTTTTGCTTAACTTGCTTACAGCTGACTTTTTTTTTTTTGTCAAGCACTAAGACAGAAATTACCATCTTTTATCAAAAGGGCTTGGAGCATTGTTTTAAACTTTTGGTCCAGCAGAAGTTTTTTTGTTTTTCATGTAGAAATACCCGAACTTTTATTTGGCCAGAGCAAGGGTGTTTCGTAAAATGCTTTGTTTTCTTGCCACAAAAACTCTAGGAAGCCCTGTTACGAAAGAAATGCTGTCAAGTGGCTTTCCTCCTGCCTTTATCACTGATGTTCAGTAGCCATTCAAAACTTACAGGGTCAGGTAAGAGCTTTCTTAATAGAGCAGTGACATTATTTTTGGTTAGCCTCTAATATGTTATAATTGCTGAGAGCTCCAATGCATCTTTCACTTGATTTTGGTTTATTTATTTGTTTCTGTTTTTGTTTTGTGGTTCTATCATCTTTCCAGAAGGGAGTTTTTTTGTTGTTTAGACCAATTGAGTCTGCTAATGAACCCACTGAGCAGTTACTCAGAAGCATTTGCTAATGTGTTTTGCTTTAGGAAAATATCCAAAATAATTGGATTGAGAATCAGCATGCAAAATACTTTTCCAATAGTGATATTTGGAAAATCTGTATGTGAATGGTGCTGTAAGCTCATTGTTGCATATTTGTCTGTGCTTTAACTAGTAAGTATTGTATTCAAAAGCTGTTGCAGCTTAAGTGAATACTTTAACAGAACAAAATAAGTACTTGAAGATAGAAGAACGAGCAACTTGTGTTACGTTAAAAGTGCTTGGCATATAATTCAGAGCTTGAAAATCACACCTTTTCTTTCATGATAATTAAGCATGTTATTTCTTCTAGTTCAGTCTTTTAAGTGTAGATTCCACAAAGATTGTGTGTGCTATTAACATTCAGTGTAAGTGTTCTGGTAGCTAAAATTAGGAAGGGTCTTCAGTCCTTACAGGGTAGGGATGTCAGAGTCCTTATTGCTGGAAAGTATGTACATTTTTGTATTGTAATACAAAATACTTATTTTTTAATATCCTTTAAGTGTTTCTATTAGCTTCTCAATTCTATGTTTTAAGTATACGTTGTTGGAAAAATGTGACTTTATTGGAGGAGTCAGAGAGGAAAGGGAAAACTGTTATACTAAGAGAGGGGAAATGAATAGTAAACTTTAATACCAGATTTCATAAGAACTTCGCTAACAACACTAACAATCCCATATTCTCCAACATCAGTGCTGTCACTATTTGAGGGAAAAAAAATAATAAAACCTACTTACTATGAGTGTTCCAAAGGAAATACATGAAACTCTGCTTAATTCAGCACTAATTCTTAGTGTTGTAACTGGTGAAGTAGTATGAACTGTCTGGCAACACCCTGAACACCCTGTTTGAGTGTTCAGAACCTGATTTTACATAACTTTGAAGTAGACACATTCATTTGTATGTGCTGGTTATACCATTGACAGGTATTGTAAACTCTCCCTTTGGAGTTTGCGCTATCAAGAAGAAGCTTTCTTATAATCTCTTCTTAATACAGTATCAATTTTGAGGAGTTGGCCAAAATCTGAGGCTTGTTTTCATGCTTACCTGTCTTCATTGCTTGTTTATAACTATGTGTATACCTCTGTGTGTGTGTGTGTATGTATATATGTGTGTATACATACATATATACACACATATATACTCATACATATATACATACGTATATCATTCAGTATATATGTTCATACTTGTTTCTGAAGTAAGTTCATTTTCTAAGAATCAAAACTCTCAATTGGGTCTTTGTTTCTGTGGGTCAAAGATAAACCTGACTGGTTCTTGATAATTTATTTTTTTAATTATTTTATACTGACAGTTTCCTCTAGCAAATGAAAGTCCAAAGAAGCTAGAAATGTGGTGAATAAAAAATTTGAAGTCTGTATTGTATACGATATTCTAAAGTTGGACATGCTCAGGAAGTCAGAATAGTCTCTAGGAAGTTTTTGTTTATAACTACTACTGTGAATAATCTGTTTTCCTGCAAAGAAAAATGCAAACTATTTTGTGCATATGTTTTACTTTAAGTCACTTCTGCTGCCTGAGCAAAATCTGCTATTTTTTGCGAAGTCTTTGTAGGATTCAAATATTAAAATATCTAAATTGTGTTTGTTTTCACATTGTAGGTTTTAACTTTTGCCTATAAGCATGCATTGGTAAACAAAATGTATGGCAGAGGTCTCAAGTTCGCAACAAAACTTGCAGAAGAAAAGCCAACGAAAGACAACTTGAAAAACTGCATTCAGGTAAGGTCTATCTAGTAAAATAATGGGCCATCTTAATAATGAGTAAACATTTAAAAGTAAGAGAGGTATACTCCCTTAATAAGAGAGGTATAATCCCTTTTATCTTTTAAATTGTAGAACTCGCCAAACTTTAACACTTTAGCTTCATTCGGGTTTCTGTGGTTTGGCCTTTTCTTTTCCTTCTAGAATATCTCATTTGTGAGTAATTATCACTTTTAGCAGACTTACTTTCTGGAACTTACTTTAGGACATAAAAAAAAAAAAATTGAGATAACAACAAAAATGTATATTTAAATCATATTATGTTGGTTTTTAACCACTGCTATTTAATTGCAAATAATGCTAGTAGAATATAGGTGAGGAAGTAATAGGAATTACAATAACTCCTAAAAATTTTGTCCTACAAAATATTTGTGCATTAAATTGAGACTGTAGATCATGTGGAATGGTTTTCCTTTTCCCCTTCAGCATTAAGTAATTCAAAGATATCCAGGTTTCCAATCTTACCTTTCTGATTGTAGACTTCAAAAATAAGATGTTGATGTGAATGAGAGTTTTTGTTGGAAGGGTTTAAATAAATCCATCTCACTTTTTCTTCATGTTTATTTTTGTTTAGCTAATGAAGTTACTTGGATGGACTCATTGTGCAACTTTCACTGAAAACTGGCTTCCTGTCATGTATCCACCTGATTATTGTGTATTCTAGAAAAGTGACAAATGTAAACCTAAAGCGATTCTATATGGGCAGGATATGAAAAGATAAGTTTGACTTTCTATTGGAACGCATGTTTTCATTGCTGAATGCTGATTATTAAATTGTGTGTATTTATCAGTAAAGGCACCTGGGTACAGCTTAATACCTGTTAACCTAACTCCAGTCACCAGGGAGTTTCCTTTTTGTGCATCCCATTGCTGGCAATGGATGTGCCAGAACTGCCAACACGAAGGATTTGGAATTTGGAATTAGGCTGAAAAAGCTTACTGCATGCACGTTAGGTTCTTAACTGTTAATTTTAACTGCAAACCTGTAAAAGCTCTGTATTTTTTACAGTAAAACGAATTTTAACGTTTGATCTTAATTTCATTTCCAATTGTATGAAGGCCTTAAAGCTACTTCAAGAGTAGCTAAAAACTTATTTATTAGACTAAAGTAATGGGACATCATTACCTGTATTGTTTGCAAGAGTTTACATTTGTGGGTTTTTTGTTTGTTTGTTTTTTAAGAAAAATTCAACCTCTCAAACTGTTACAACATGTAACTAAGAATTGCTGATTCATAGGTGCTCTTGTAAATTTTCATTTTGGAGTGATTTCAGGCAAACTCAAAAATCCACGTGAAGCTGAGTATCAGGACAGGCTGATACATGTATAAAAGTGCCAGACAGTTAAATCTTAATCAGGTATTGTAAAGCTATACATATATGTTTAATAATGTTAAAAGTGTAAGACAACAGAATAAATGTGCAAGACTGAAGATCAAAAAACACCATGTGCACTCTGATACTTTAAAAGATTATTTTATAATTAATAAAAACAAATAATGAAGCTAAACGTTGTATTGGTTTCTCCGATAAATGAAACTTGCTGAAACAGAAATTCACCATACAAACTGCAGAAGTTCAGTGCAGCCAAGAAGATCAATGCTTTCTGCTAATGCCTTCCTACTAACTTACTACTAATAATGCTGTTCTTTCAATGGAGTGAAATTGGTCTGTTTGAACAAAATTGTGTGTGAACCTAAGACAAATGACTGTATCATTCTCTTGGCCATTTTTTTGTAACTCATAATGCAAAACTCAGATACAACTAGAGCTTTACAGACATAAATGCAGAGTACACCATAATTCTGTATCACATTCCAAACTGCAAGGTGCTGACAATAAATCAAAATCACTAACTGTTTTTTCTTCAATTCTCTCTTACTGTGGCTTTAATCAGCTTGACATTTGATTCTGGAAATTCTGCTAGGATGGTTGTATCAAATATACTGCTAAGTTTTTCCAAAAATTCATAGTCTGTACTGAATCTGAATTTATTTGCCCATAGCAATACTGTCCCTGGCTGACAAAAATACACCATTGTTTCTAGCAGGGGATCCAAAGCTGTATGGTGGTATACAACATCACTTGCCAGTAGGAAATCATAATGGTAAGATGATGAAGGGAAGTCTTCACTGAGGCTTTCTCCCCATACCAGTTTTCGCACTTCGGGTTTGTGGATATTCATATTTTGTATATTACTTGAAATATTAAATGAGAGATTTTCAAGAACTTCAGGCAAATCAGTTGCTGTGACATAAGCTCCTAAAGAAAATATTAATTTGTTTTAATTCATAGGTATATAGTTGAGCATACAGATACATAACTTTATCTGTATTACTTCCCTCAGCATTAACTAGGGTAGTTACTTTATTTACAAAACAGTATTTGACAATAACTTTCATTTGTAAAAAAACAGTGTCAAACAGGCCTAATTTCAAGTGTTGCTTCATTGCTTTAAACCGACAGGAGCAGATCTATGTTATATTTCATAAGAAATCCAAAGGAAATAGGAATTTACTAACCTAAGATGCAGGCCACAATGGAAACTAAGCCTGTTCCAGCGCCAATTTCCAGAACTTGCTTGTCTTTGAGGTTGAATCGTTCTTGATTTGATTCCAGATATTGAGATAAAGCCAGTGCCTAAAATATCAGTATCACATATCAGTTAAGCTGCACAACATTTACTTTGATTTTTTTATGCTGTTTTTTATACAGTGGAAAACACTGAAGGCTGTAACATAAAGATAATATGGAAAGAAGCGTTGTGTCCTGTTTTTTATATCAATCCAATTAAACAGTTCCTTTTTAGTTCCGGGTTTTGTGATTTGCTGCACACATCTGTAGACTTTGTGATTCTTCTCACAGTTCAAGACAAGTAGAGTTCAGGTGTGAACTGTACACAGAGCAGCAAATGAAATTTAACAATATGCACAAAGTCATGTTATGGTTTATATAATACTCTTACACTTTACTATCACAAAATAGATTTGGGCTTCACCAGAGATTTTTGGAACTTTTTTTGCAAAGGAATTGTTTTTTAAAAAAATTATCCACTCAATGCTTGTCTTGATGATACTGTAAATTTCAAAGACAATTTACTGCTGCATAGGAGAACAGAAGTATTGCTGAACAGGTGTCAAAAAAAAATAAACTGCCAATTTGTTTGCTAATCACAAATAATATAAACAGATGCGAAAGAAACTAACTTGCCCTTTTGCTTCTCTTCTTTGGAGTGATGTTACTGTTTCAACTACTGTGCTTTTCATAAAACAACGCTGACTACCTGCTCTGGGAATGCTGACAACTAATGAATCACCAGGCCACTTTATGCCACTCTTGGTTTTCTTGGAAAGTTTTACCATCTGCATTCTGACACCTGATTAATTTGTGAATTGATGCTCTGACATAACCAAAATAAGCTACTGTTCCACTTAACCATACGCTTCTTTTTTATTTTGAAATTCTCTACCGTTTTTTGTGAGCTTTTTCAATAAATGTTGATCTGGAAGATTCTGAAATCCTAATTTTCATGTCTCCATCAGTTGACCCTCTGTTCCAATTAAAGACGCGTTTCTGAGTCTGCATAAAATTCTGTTTTTCCGAGCAGGGAGAGCAAAGACTGGAGCACACCTCTTTGCAAGCATGGTTTTCTATACTGCAAAGGAGTTATTCCAGGCTGTTCTGTTTTGTTTTAAACTCCTCTATTTAATCTCTCACAATTTTCTTTATTTTCCTTCCAATAATGGTGATTGTTTGCATCCCAGCAGTGACTGGAAACATGGAAGAATATTGAACACTTCTATCCATCTCTTTGCAAATGCTTTTTTCAATATCTGCATTCAGTTAACAAATAGATGTGTGTGTGTTGGTGTTTTTCTTTTTTTTTCTCCTTTCCACTTAAAGGTGCACATTTTAAACAATTTACCATTTCTTCATTTACATGCTACAGTTGTTTTGGTCCAAACTATATTAAATTAGCCATAACGCAGAGCTTTCTGCTGAAGACAGCTTGGTTCTGCACAAGGAAGCCTCTACTGTCATCTAAAGAAACTTCCTTAAGATTTGTATGCCATTGTCATGACTGACTTTTCTGTCGTGTCAACCTTCTGGATGCTGTGTCGAATACTTACCCCGGGCCATACCACTGCTCCAAAGTGCTCTATGGATTCCTGGATGACGATCTGGCGGCCTACATAAGTATAGTGCTCTTTGTCAAAGTAGGGGGAAACTCTAGGAACCCAGTTCTGCAGTATTTTAAGAATTACTGGTGAATCTGTGTGAGAGAGATGAAATTTGTATTTTATATGCATGTGTTTATATGCAGCAGATACAAACACCAAATTTTTGCATCTTTCTGTCTTTTTATACTAATACACTCAGTTAACTAGATATGCCTGCTAGAGGAAGAGGATGACTGAGAGATTTGGGATGCTAAGCTTCTTTTTACAAATAAAACATCTCCAAGTTCGATTTTACACCTTACATTGAAGAAATTGCAGCATTTTTTAGTGGTATCGTTTTTTAATCACATGTCCACAAAAGGAGGGTTGTGAGATACACTTTTTAAGTATGTATTGAAATATATGATACTGTTCAGTAAATGTCACTAGTGCAGTTGTGCTAGCGTGTCTCATTAGAGCATGGAGGCTTTTAAAGTGGATTTTTAGGAGAGCTCAGCTTAACTACTCCACCTGCTCTCATCAAAAACAAGGACGCTCCATTCTCAATGACTGTGCTGCTGTTGGAAGCCTATTAGCAGGATGTGCTTAGATGATAATTTCGGCTGCAGAGAAAAAGTTTGCTTTGGTTTGCATGGATTTTAATTAATGGCAGCCTGGTATCCATGGTAGATGTTCAAGCAATTTAGCCAGTGTTGAAATTTTGCAATACCACAGCTTCAATAGTGCCAACCCAATTAATGCACGTTATAATCATCTCTCTGATGTTAATTGAGAAATAATCCTCAGATACCTAAATAAAATCCAGAGACCTTTTAAAATATCTCTCTTAATTATGAGAAAGATTACTTCTTTCTAGATTTAATGTGATAATGGGGGGAAGTGGAAAAATAGACTTCAAAATGAAAAGTGACAGTAACATTTACTATTTCAAGACTAAGGAAAATGAAACTGTGAGATGCAGTAGCAGTATTTAAAGTGGATTAAACCTGAGTTGGATTCTGTTGATGTGGAGCTGCAAGTGCAGTTTTCAGAGTCATACTGCTCTTCACAGGCTTCTTCCTCCATTACTCTTTGTATTTTGTTTGGGAACGGTAGCTGCTGCGCAGAGATCATGGCACAAGAGCTGAAATAGAGAGGGGAGGGAAAAGCTTGAGGGCACTCCATATAATATATGAGGGAGAAGAAAGTGAGAAGTTTAGGTGTGGTGTTTTTTTTTTGTTTGTTTGTTTGTGTTTTTTTTTGTTTGTTTTTGTTTTGTTTTGTTTTGTTTTTTTCTGTTTTGTTTTTATGGCACGATGAGGGGGCAGGAAACAATGGTGAGAGGTGGCATCCCCGTTCCGGAGGATAATGCTGTAAACTTTCTGGTAACGAAGTCAGAGTTTTCATTTTATCATACAAACAACAGCAATTTATCATAATATCGCTAAATTGGTACCACTAATCAGTCTGAATAGTGAGCTCCTTGCACACTGAGCTCCTTGGTGTTCAGAAAGGCTGAAGCAACAGCTGGAAAATGTGAACTGCCTTTCGGTGTCCACAACTTTTTATCAGTGTCATTTCCTATGCCTCAGGACTCGGTATTCCTGTGATAAAACTGGTTGATTTGCTGCAGCCAGTGCTCTTGGTTTTGCCTCCTCATTGCCTTCACCTCTGCCTTCTCCTGCAGAACAGCTAATTGAATTGCAGTGAACAGCTAATTGAGATGCAGTGAACTGCAGTCAGGAAATAATTGCAGTGAGAAGATCGGCACAGTGAGCTGCTTTGGAGAACAGCACGTGTGTCATGTGGCTCTGCATCTCCAGTGCACGTGGGCAGCACCCAGCATCGTTAAGGAGCTGCTTGATACCAGCTAGAGAGTGGGAATGGGGGTGGATCTAAATCTGCCTGGGGAGAAACAAAACTGCCAAAGAAAATTTTTGCTTACTGTGAGTTTTAATCAGTGGTATACACACGCATACATAAATGAAACTGGATCTTGATTTCCTATGGCCAGAAGCTGTACAAATTCACCCTTCCCATGTATTGTGATGGTTGGAGGGTGCTCAGTTCTTATCCACAACTGGCCTCTGCCCATTCTCAAGAAGGCACGCTTGCATGATTTCTCCACCACATGTCCTGCAGACAGGGTTGTGTAATTTGGGTTGCATCACATCACAGGAGGCTTCTCTGGATATCTTGTCCAGAAGGGGGAGAGGTTTGGCAAGGTCTCAGAGGCTCAGCAGTGCCTGCAGGTAGTTTTTTAAGGGGCAGAGTGACTGCTGACTTGTGTGGGTGCTTTATTTGCACACATGATACTGACACCATTGCATTTTTTCTGTTACCTGATATATTCCTTATTGCTACTCTGTTTATTCACAAGGACAGGATTTATGTTCTGAGTCCTGTAGCAATGCATTTGCTCAAAAGTCATGGCAGTGAATCTGTACTGTTTAAAAAACAGAATGCTTTAAAGCAATTTGACTTCTACAGATATGTTTTTTGGTGTGTTTATTGTTTTTTCTCCCCTCAGAGGGCTTCCATCTAGCTAGCAACAAGTTCTGGCTGCACATCTTTTTTTATATAATTCAAGATATGTTGGAGATAGGCAGATAGGAGACTGAAGATAATGCTGCAGCTACAGCATTCCCTGGCATTTGAGTGCATGCATCAATGTGTTTGTTTTTTTTCCTCCCACTTTTGATAATGTGCCTCCTTAGAAAACAGCAGTGGTTTCTATGCAGCCTTACTTTTCAAAAGTATACTGCCTGTTCTCAGTAATGACTTTTCATATATATATATGGAGCTAGAATAAAATCTGATCATGTTATTAATGTTATAGGAAATTTATGGGAAAATATATTAATGCTTATGTAATTGGCAAAGTATGAAATGAAAATAGAAGGATCTGTAGTAACTGGTGACTGCCGTGGCCGGGAGAAAAACTAGCTTGAAGACAGTCTTCTGAACATTTCACGCTAACACTGTGGTGAGCCTGGAATGGTCCTTAAGTCCATAAGGAGCCTGAGTTCCTAGAGGACAGTTCTGGGGGAAAAGGATTATTCACTCTGCATTTATACATCACTTATCACAATGGGCTTTGGTTTTTGGCTGAACTTCTAGATGTTACAGCATTTACATCTTTACATAGGTGTAGCTTTTGCAAATAGAAAGTTATTCTATTATATAGCTCGCTGACATAACTATTAGTGATACATTTCATGAACTGAAGTAAAAAATTGTTGTTTCCTTTTTAGTTACAAACTATGTGTAGTCTGGACTCAAGTATGTTAGTGTCTTGGGCTTAGTGATGAACAGCTTTGTGTTATTATTTCAAATGACAAACTACCTGAAGACGAAGTCAGTGTTGAGTAAGCTCATTGCACATAGGTGATGTCTGCATTATTACATGCCCTTTGCGTAAGATGGTCAAGTTGCTGCTGTGTGACTAGAACTGACATTTCTTACTATTCTTACAATTCTGATCCATATTTCATTGAAAATGATACATCTTACAAAAAAAAAAAAAAAAAGAAAAAGTAAATAATAATATGCCAAGCAAAATCTATTCCCTTAGAAACTGTTGGTGCTCTCTGTTCACAGCTAATTTCTTTGCAAAGTGATTCTGAAGGGAAATCATCTAAGCTTTGTAGTTTCCAAAGTATTTAAACTAGTATTGACTTCATTAATGGACTTTGTCATGAACAAAATGGCTTATATAATCACATTTGGTTTCTTCAGAACGCGAGGAAAAGAACAATTGAAAAAACTATGTCTATTTATCCATGTTACATGAAATTAACAAGGTAATAAAATACTTAAGGGTGAATTGAACAATGAATATAAACCTTACAGTTATAGCTTACCCCCTGTAAGCATAAACTTTCTGCCTCTTAACCTTCATTGCTTGGAAAGAGTTTTAAATCTGACTACATGGAGGAAAAAAAAGGGAAGAAAAGATAGGTTACTGAGTAATACTGTGTCACTTCAGCTGTGAACACCGCTTTGCTGAAACATTTATTTCTTTCACAAAGTTATACAGCGTTGTCCGTTTTAGTCTGAATTATTTGGCAAAAACCACTTCCATCTGCTCAAATGGGAAATGCAGTTGCACTGCGTTCCCTGTGAGTAAGGGCTTAGCATGCCGTGCACAAACATCAGTGTTTCTTTGGGTTTCCTTCATGCAATATCCTCATGTTCTCGTGCACTGAATAATATATATGTCTATATACACACATATAACATATATAGATATAGTGTCACACACATATATATAACAGATGTATATGGTGTCTCACACACACATGTATATGTAACATATATAGTGTGTGTGTGTGTATATATATATACATGTATATATATGTATGAATGTATATATATATATATAAATGCTATGTATGTGTATATATATGTAAATGCTAGGAAATAAATATCAGCGCTATAAACCTGTACCATACGTGAGCCCGCAAGGCAAATGCATCAAAATACTGAAAAGCAGCACTGAGTGTCAGTCTTGCTGAAACTACAGGAGTGGGGTGTGCCTGAGCGCATTGGCTGGCCTGGCTCTCTGCAGTCGAGGAATACGGTGAGCCCTGTTCCCCATGTTAGTCAGCAGAAAAAAAAAAAAACATGCCGCAGACAGGGTTAGTGGGCCAGTGGCACAGTTACCTGCTACGATGGAGAGCGACGAAGTTTCTTGTGGGAGGATGCCCGCTCCAGAGGTTTTTATAGGGGCATGCACCTGGAAGGGATTGCCCTGTGCAGGCGGGGGGAGATGGTGGGCTATTTACAGCAACATTACCAGACACCTACTGCCTCACGCTAAACTCTTTTCCAGTTGCAGCATGAAATGTGAATGCTCCTGGACTTTGCTCTCCGAAGTTTTCCAGCCTCAGGAACGAAACCTCAGCCTGCTGCTCTTGTTGGTGTTACGATCTGCAGTCCTGACCCAAGTGAGCTGCTGAACGTGGGCAAAGTAGCGCAGTAGTAGCAGTGGCTGCTTGGCGGTAGCCCAAGCGCGGAGAAAAGTTCACGGGGCCGTAAGGCTGCTCCTGCCAAGGGCTCTGTGTTCCCGTGTGGTCTGCGTAAGCCAAATGTGTATTCCTTTATATGCTTCAAGAATGGGAGGGTTATGTGCATTTACCACTCCGCTGCGCTTCTGCCCTCCCCTCTTCTTGGAATAGATTTATTAGGAAGAAATGGAATTGGAGTAAAAAAGTTTGAGAGGAGCAGTGGAACTCGCAAGGCTGGAAGACAGCCCCTGGATGAACGACTGAGGGTGGGCAGCAGCAATAAGAGAGGTGGGTGGCAAAGCAAATTGAGCTCAGTGTGCAAGGATTTGCATCTTCGTGTGAACAGCTGGTAAATTTGGGTAAAGTTCTCCTCGGGAATGACCCAGGATGAGCCTTTCCCTCCATGGGGCTGTGCGTTTCCCACCTCAGCCACTGGATGTCTCCAGCAGTCACACCAAGCGTGTGAAACACTTCGATGCTCACTCCAATGCTCCCTGGTTCTTTTTCTCTGAAATCTAATATTTGAAACATTATTTTTTTTTGATCCCTGAGACTGAGTATTAACTGTATTAGACTGTAACTCTGTAAGGTATTGAGTCTATCTAACTGCTGTGTCTGTTCATTGAGCATCTCATGCAGCCCTCTGACTTGACAAGCCATGGAAACAAGTAGTCCTGAGCTAGGAACTGGAAGGAAAAACACAGGTACATCGCTGTCAGAGTGACCAATACCCCTTCTGTGGTGCTACAAGTACAACATAATGCATAGGGACAGGCTCAAACTCGGTGTCACTGAGAAAAGAGATCTTAGTGGCACTGGAGACCGCTATATAAAAATACCGTTCCAAAGTGTATCAGTAATCAAAAAGGTAAAGGGACTGCTGGGATTTTATAAGGATGGAAAAAAAAATATTCTTATGCCCCTGTAGGAATTCAGGGTCTCCCTCACTTTGAGGATTTGCTGGAGGGCCTTGGAGGCCACCTGAATGACTGAATAACAAAGGGCCCCCAGCTCTAGGGCAGATTCTCCTCACCTTTGTTGCTGTAGGCATCTGCTGAGCTTTTCTGGATGTGGATGGCATGTTTGCATTCTCCAAATGGCAGGGGCTTCTTAGCTGCTGTCAGCAGCTAGCTAAATGTCTGTGACGTGGTGCTGACAGGGCCGGTGCTGTTTGCTGAAGGGCAGCCGACTGGAAGGTGGTGTTGGTTCCAGGTTAGCATCTCTGGTGGGCTGCTGCTCCCACCCCTGCGGCCGAGGGACGAAGCCCCAGCCCGAAGTCACCAGCACCCAGAGGTAGCAGTGGCCTTCCCGACCCACAGCAGCCAGCAGAGCAGAGCAGTGCAGGAAGGGGTCCTCAAACCAAATGCAGCCTTTTCATTATTTTTGAAGGAAAGACATCTTCTAAGCTTGGCACAGGCTGCCTTTTACTCACCTATCTGAGGTGGATGGCTTCCTCCATGGAGAGAGGGGTGGATGTGGGGTCTCCAGAAGCTCTCCATGTTTTGATTCTTGAGCACAGCAGAGGTCTGAAGAGTGTGATCTCAGATGTTTGCCTGAATGCTTCACCTGGGTATAAACTGTTACAAACCCCGCCACCTTTTGCCTCACATGATGTGCTGTATATCTAAATAAAGCACTCAAGAATAAACTGCTTTGGGAACTTGCTCCTCTGTGGTTCAGCTAGTTTTTCCCATGGTAGTGGTCATAAATGATGATACGGTCTACATACTGCGTAATAAAAGTGCTGAAACTGTTTGTATATGAGGTATATTTGCGGTTTGTTTGTTTGCTTCATAGGATGACCAAACACAGGCTGATGGATCTATGACCCAGAGAAAATACCTGCTCATATCTATAGTTTTAAAAATCTCTCCTATTGTCTGTGTGAATATAAAATATGGAATGCTGTCCAAAACAACAGGACAGGAAGTTGTTGTCTTTTCTTCTTCTGTATCTGATTTAATGCTGCACACTAATTTCATCAGGGTTAATCTTATTTCCACATAAAATACAACGAGAGGCTTCAAGCAGCGAGCTAGGCCAAGCCTTGCCAGACGATTACTTAAAATTGCGCTCCCACTCAGGGGATCATTGTGCTGTGGTACCAGAAGTACCAAAGTTTGATTTTCCTCTAATTTCCTCATCCTGGAGGTTTTCATCCAGCTTCTGTAAGTCTCTCCTGTTGTGGCACAGGCCCATTAAGTGAACTGCTACAGGTCATGCAGGTACAGTGCAGTTGCGCTCGGGGGTTGGTTAGCGAGGTTTGGTGTAAAATCAGCCACTTGTTTCTGCTCCTCTCAGCAGAGTCACTTTTCAGCTTTTCAAAACCCAGAGCTGTTTGCCTGCAGGTGATCATTTCAGTTTGCTTCTCCTTGTTGATCTCAGTCCTTTCCCTGCCCCTCAGTGTCTGGGTGCTCTGCTCTCAGCACAGGTCTGCCATGGTGCCCTCCTTCCTCGTTGCTTGTTGGCCCCGCCTGTCTGAAGATCCCCACTCCCTGGGGATGGAGTTGTTGAAGCTGAACTGTCAGTTCAGGTCTGAACTCCCTCAAAGCTTGGGAAGAATTTTAACCCTTCACCAAGGAGCTCTTAGCACTGCTGTAGGGTTTTCTCTTACCTCCCCAGCCCCCTCTGCTATTTCTCAGCTGGTTGCTCAGAAGAGGATTCGGTACCATCTGCTATTTTTTTCCCTATGGCAAGGAAAGAGATCCTGAACTAATTCCATGGAGCTTTTTATAGAGCAAGGATTGTGATGGTCTTAATTTACCGAATGGGAAGTTTTACAGCAGGGCTGCCTTTATGCGATCTCTTTGGGGCTGGTTACTATATACACAGAGGAGGAACTGACTTAATGTTGTAACATTAAAATTAAATTAATTGGGGGTTAAATTTGGCAAGTCCTTGTTCTTCAGGTAAAGCTTCTGAAGTCAGGGAGAGTTTAGTTGTGGTAAAACATGATTGAATGGCTGAATAACAGGACCCAGCTGAAGAGTCTCCTTGCTTCCCTTCCACTTGTGAAAAGTGTGGTGCTTCCTTAGAAGAAAGACAAAAATCGATTTAAAGTAGTTTCAGGAAAAGAACTAATGAGTAGCTCAAGCAAAATTGTGATTAAATAATTAGTTTTGCAGCAGGAGTTAAGTACTTAGAAATTACGCTCTCCGCAGACCATTAGTAGGAGTAACTTGACCTTATTAAAAAGAATCAGAAGAGTCCCTGTTGACTTGGCAGCCACCTGAATGCAATGTTTTTTAATAAACCTAGCTAGGATGAGCTCAACTGTACAGATTTAAAGGTCAATAGAAAGTCTGATTCATTAACTATTGTGCATGCAAATCAAAAATCAGATGCAAGTCAAAGCAGGGCTATACCCGAGTTAGTCCTCCAACCTGGTGATGATACTGAAACTGAAGTGAAAATGTCAGAATGTGACCATAAGGTAAATTTCTGTCATTGAAGTCAGTGGGATTTTTGCCTTGAACCATGACAAATTAGAAGACTTCATTTCCTTGGGCATAGCTGTAAGACAGTTTTTGTGTATTTGGTATGATGTTTTGTGGTTTGTTTGTTTGTTTTTTCCATTTATGTAATGAATTTTGGTAAAAAAAGAGGTAGCTTGAAGCCTTCAGCTTCACTTGGACTTGATCAACATCTGTGCACTGCAGTATGCAATATGTTTTAAAGCTCAGCAGCCTTGTCCAAGAACTGCAGGATGTAATCCTGAGTGACTGTTAATATTTTTTTTTTCAAACCCATTAAGCTCCCACGTCTGTCATCGCATCTTTGTAACCACTGTCCATAGCTGTAAATGGGCTCTGCATTCAGTACTGGCTGCACCTGCTTCATGGGAAAACCCATGCTGATTGTCTCCTAAGGAGAAATAAGGTGTTGACTTTGCGCTATAAAAGTCTAAAAGGATGAAAACGTGGATATTTAGCCATCAGCTTTCTTCCTAAAACAATCAGAATTCAAAGCTAAGCCCTTCCTACCTCGCTAAAGGGGGAGCTCCTGGCACCAGGGCTCTTGTGATTTCTTCAGGACTTCCAAAGCAGTCTTCAGAAAATAGGTGTCAGTCTACAGAAGCACAATTTGGGCTTTGTTGCCTTTGGTGGACATAAAGCAAAGTCTGGCTGTTTGAAGGGAAGGGAGAGTTTGAGCATGGTTTTTCATGTTGATTTTTTTTTTTTTTTAATCAGAGGGACCCTTGAATCTGGGCACATTTCCTCAGCTTGTCCCATCACATCGGTGTGTGCAGAGGAGGTGCGAGGCGAGACGTCCCAGCAGCACAGCTTTGGGGCTTGGCAAACCTTTTGTTGTCTGCTGCTCCTGCAGTAATGCTGCATGTGCATAACGTGATAGGAATGACCTGGAGAAAGCCAAATTACGTTATCTGGAAAGTACCAGTAATACTTAAAGCTATGAAATATTTGCCTGGCAGCTTCTGCAAGGTTATTCAGAAAAGATATTTTGGGATGACTATTGCTGCAAGTCTAAAACTGCTCCCCACCAGCAGCGCCAAAAGGAGCCTTCTAGCCCAAAACACTCCATGACTCTATTCCACTTAAAACCAAAATAGATCAGGATCTCTTAGTATTTGAGCCTACCTGGGGGGAAAACAGACATTTTTAAAAGCTGTTTGTGGAGCATGATGGCAGCGTTTCAGTGCAGAGAGAGGCGTGAGGAGGGATGGCCATGTTGTGTAAGGAGCTGCCAGGTGCCACACGCGTTGTTAGCAGCTGTTACCTGGCTACAGCATGGCTCGAAATCTGTGCAGAGGTGTTGGTCGATGCTCATCT